GCTGTTTATGGGACACTGCTGTGCACAAATTTGGCCCACAAAATACAGTCACAACACTTTAGAGGCATTTTAGAAGCACTTTGAGACATCTCAGTGACATGAGCGGTACATCAAATGCAAGGGTTATTTTTGTGGGTTTACATTGTCAAGGATTGATGCTTATATTTAATAATAATCTTTCCATTTGATATAGTGCCTTATTACTTCACTGAGACATTTCGAAGCGCTCCACATGATATACTGTAAAGTGTAATGACTTTTTATACTCGTGTCATGTTTGTAGATTGGTGTCCTTTGGTGTGCTCCTTTTTGGAATTTTTCAGTGAAACCAAACTGGCTTCAAAAGGTAGACAAGACAATTATGAGATTCGTTGTAGGTATGCAAACCTGCTTACAGTCAGTCCCAGGTACCAGTCACTAGTTGAGTCAATGTAGATTTGTGGAATAAACATGTCATAACTCAAAATGTATTAGACATTTTCCAGCCAGTTTATTGTATCAAGTTTTCTTTGATACTCGGCTTTCCAAAAAATAATATCTTTTAATATCGTGCTATGTGCCTATACTGTAATATGTGCTGATTATTTTTTTAGAAGTGGGATTTAATATAGTAACTACAAATCCATTAATAAATATGTGCAACTGATAATCTTAGGATTTAGAATTCGTACAGTCAATGCTGACATTCAAGTGCAGTGCTGGAGGTGAACTGCATTGCTGGGAGATGATCTGCATTGCTGGGAGATGCCTTCCTTTTAGATGTGTTGTTTTGCCCACAAATATACAGTCAATTCACTTTGCAGTATATTCTGTGAAAGTGCTTTGAGGCATCTAGAAGACATGAAAAGCGCTATGTCAAATACAAGAATTATTATTATTCCTCTTTGATTCAAATAAGAGGATGTCACTAGGATTTGGTGCTTTTAGGGCTTGTTTGCTTTATGCACTTGTCCTAGCACTTGCTTCATACAAGACATCAATCTGATATCTACCAGGAGTTTGTTTTCTATTGACTTTTTGGGGGTAGTTTAATTTTATTTAAATATAGTTTTCAGTCTTGTTTTACTACATAGTCAGTGATATTGATTTCTGATCTGAGAACATGCATTTTTCTGTTTGAAAGTAATATTAGCTGGTTTTGTGCCTCTTGGTTGATGTTGACATTAGGATTCAAGAATTATACATATTGTTTCTTTCCAGTGATCAATAGCGCATCTTTCAACATGTGCAATTTTTAGAGCAACACATTATCCAATACAGATCATCCAACATGTCTCATCATGAAAGTTAAAATGTTAAAAGGTGACCTTCGAAGATAGAATAGTATCATTTGATTTTTCACGTAGAGACCTTTGGTGAGTAGGTTTTGTCTTTCTGCCTTACTCTCTGGAACTTTATTCTGGAGTCCCTATGACTCTCTCCCTTTCCTCACTTTGTTCAAGTTCTGTCTCAAAATGTACATCTTTGACGCTACTTCTGGTTTTCGTTCACCTCCCCACTTTGGTTCCCACCGCTGCTTGGGTTCTCAACCAGTAGCGTTTTTTAAGATATCCTATTGATATGAAAGGTGTTATATAAATGCAAGTTGTATTCTATTTAATGTCTTATCCAAAAAGGACATTTCTGACCATGTGATGCTCCCCCATTACTACACCGTAGTGTCAGCATAGACAGACCATCAGCTCAAATGCCTGGCAAGGGGTTTGAACCTAAAACTTTGTGACTTATGCCCCCCCTCCACCATCTTATTGAAGTTATTGATAGCACGTCCCATCAGTTCTGATCCTAAAATTGTCAGCATAACTTGAAGCACAGGCACTAAGACCCTTCCTGAAAAGGACTTTGAATTAATTTCAACAGCCAAGCAAGATCTTGCAACTCTCATGGTGCTCTCAAGTTTGTGAACTCTTTTCATAATATGATAGCTGTGGATACATCTGTTTTTTTTTCTTTATACACATCACTGAAATACCCACATACCCTCAAAAGTCTAGGCTGTACCCCCGATCTGGTTGATCAACTTCCACTGTCCAATTGGGCAGAATGGTATGTAGGCATTTGCTGTTGCTTTGTGCCAGCTGGCACATGAGCAATGACAATGAATAGTCAATTAATTAGAAATTGTTGGTATGAAAGTTGATGAGGAGGGAATATAAACCGGGAAAACCCAGAGAAACACTGCAATTTTCCTTGAAATAGCAGGTGGATCCCTAATGGCCATTGAAATCATGAGGTATTAATCATAATACAAATATAACCACCCTTGTGGGTGTGGTCTGCAGCAGTCACACTCCTACAAGAAACAGCTGCTGAAGAGTTGAGTTTTATTTAGGACATCGCTTGCAGGATCACCCGCATGAATTAGTTTGATAGACATGACGCTTCCAGTCGCTTGTCTTGCCACACGCACAGATTGTTGCTGCCCACTGGTGGAAGACTGGGTTTCTTTTGCATTTCATATGTGCTTTCAAAAGAGCCAGGGAGCAAGGACACAAGTGTCCTTGAATCATAGAATCCTGTACAAGAGTGTGCCTCTGTGCCCCAGCAACAGATTGCTATATTTCCCTGTCCTCCGGACGGCCAGCAAAAACTACTTTTGAAGTTCGTGAATGAATAGAACCTGGTTGCAGCGTGTGGGTGTGAAAGTGACTCCATTAGTTTACCATAATTACCTTTTTTTCAGATGAATTGTCGGTTGAGTATCAATACTAAATTCTTCCCTTCAGACTAACGTCAGCACAAGCTGCAGTTGAAAAGGTTGTCCTTGCTGCCAGTTTGCCTTGACTGCAGCAAGACCTTCTGTCTGCTTCTATTTAAATGGCAGGACCGTTTTGGGACTATACATGTGACCGTACCAGTCCAGTGTATAAAAGGCTGGGATTTCTGATTTGTGGGAAATTCCAACTGCAGGCTTCATGTAACTGTAGTGATAGCGTTGCTACAAGACAACTTTGGAAAGACCAATCAACTTGATTATTATGCTGTTTGAAGGGTGCAGATATAGGGTTCAGTAACATGTGCAGATACTGTATATTGAGTGGAGCTGTATCTTTCTGTAAACTGTATCTACTCGTCCTGGATGGTAAAACTTGCCACTATTCTGTACATGGTCTTTGGATGTCAAAATCATTGTGCTCAATGGTTACTGAATCTCAATCGCAATCAAGCACATGAGTTGCATGCAATCTTTATACCAGACCTCTTCAGTTTTGCTTACCAGGATGTGGGATATCACAGCACATGTAGAAAAAAGTTCAACTGTCCAAGAGAATTGAAATTAACCCTAACAGGTTCAGCCCTTAGTACCCGCTATAATTGTGCCGATGAGATTATTCTTATGTAGTAATTGGAGTAGTTGTGCATTTAATCCAATGGACTGGAGGGATGATGCACTTCCTTACAGATTATTCTCAAGGTATACTATTTGTCAAAGAATCCCTTGAATCATGGGGTGGTGGGGGAGATGGTTGGATGTATATAGGACAGTATTCTTAAAGTCTACATTTGACAGTTTAGCTTGTGAAAAATATATTGCAACATGAAAAGCTACGGTTGTGATGTGGTAATGATTTGCTATTTTGTACCTGAATAAAATGGGTGTGATGTTCAGTGCCAACGTTGTTTCTAATCATTCAAAGTTTTAATCGAGACAGGCATTCTAGTTTACACAAAGCAGGTGAAGGATAGGTGAGGAGAGAGGGGGTATCTATGTTCATGCTTTGTATTGTCAGTAAATCTGCCTGGGATTGAGTCATTTATACGCCTGCCATGACGTGAGTGACATATGTAACTGCATGATTACACGATATCGCACTACTTTCAGCTGATTCAGATTTCTGATTTGTTGGTGTGTTTTTTTTNCCATTGGTATTCAGAAATTGAGACCACATCTTGCCTAAATTTTAATAATCTCTGGAAACTGGTGCTGAAATGCTACCTGCCTCTTGCAGTGCAGGAAGACTTGTTTTAAGATGATCCAAAACCTAATATCTTCCAATCAACTCTCCCACAATGGCCAATAGAAGTGGAGGAAGGAAAACACTGTCTGCGTCTCCTATATGAGCTATCGGACTTGGAAGGCAAGCCTTTTGGTTTTCCTTGCCTGGCTCGCTAACATTAAGAGTTACTTGGTCTGCAATTTACACTTGAATAGGGCAGGAGTCCTATGCACATTTCTTGGAATCCAATATCCACCTGTGCACTAAAGGAGTATGTTTATTAAACAATATTTTTATTAAATTGCATTGGACATTGAGAGAAGCACCATTGCAGTTGTTGCCAGATTTTTAATTGCATGAGAGCTTCAGAATGATTTTCGTGTTAACTAGAATACTTGTAGAAAGTGCAGATTTAACCAATGGCATTCAAAAAAGGTACAGGTGAAATATTCCATTTTCAGTTTGGATAGAAAATTAGTTTGTTCTTTTCTATGGAACCAGTTCCTGGCATTCCTCCAGACTGAGTTTCAGATTAGAACCTACAGCTAGATAGATGTGTGTAAATCTTCTGTAGTGCTGACTACACGATGAGCACTACATTTCTCAATCTAATTTTAAACAGACAGCTTCCTTCTCAGATCTGTTTAAAATTAATCAGTTAACAAACGGGAACACGTTGCCAACAGAAACTTCAGTTCCAATTTTGCAAAACATTATCACAAGAGCAGCTGAATGAATTTTCATTCTAGGCTTTTCATTCAGTTGTGCAGTAGCTTTGCAGCGCAATGCTCATAAATCTTGTCTCTTGACTCGAGGACAGAATGTTCCCGAAATTCATATGATCTTTGTCAAAATGTTACTTTTCAAGTAATCTGAAAAAATATAGTTTATCTAAAGTAATTTGAAAAAACATAATGTACAGTATTTATAGTTTTTTTTTATTTTGAAGAGAAGTCTTAAGTATATTAAACTAATGTGAATTTGTTTGCTTTTCATGTAAAATTTTCTGTCAAGTAATGAAGCATCTCCACCTTTATTGATCCATTTTTTCCTCTTTCTTAGGCGGAGAGACCTCAGCATGCAAACCTTCAACTGTTCGGCTTGCACCCTCATTTTCATTTCACGCTGCTGGCCTTCAAATGGCTACGCAGGTGCCTCATTCCCACCAGCAATATAGTGATCGTCACCAACAGACTATAAATGACCAGCAGGTGCCCGCACTTTCCTACACTGACCAGCTTCAGCCAGCCATAACTAATCAGGTAGTGACCAAGTGTGAGAGCTGCATATACAGCTGATGTACTTCTGTATTGTTATGCTGATTTCAGAATGGATGGGTTTCTCATGAACCAGAACTTGGAAACGCCTTGGTAATGAGGGCGACTTAATATTGAGGCCATTCTTTCAGTCTTTTAGAAAAGGATGGTACACAAAACATCAAGGTCAATAATAAGAGTAAAATAAGGCAATTCTATTGACTTCCTTTCAGTTACACTGTACTCGTACTTTCAAACTCTATTGGGTTCATTGATGCAGTAGAGATATTAGACAATTCTATGAAACAAATGTCAGCTACCACAGTCCTAACCTCTGGAACATCCTCACTCTACCTCCTCGTTGTGCCCCCTCAGTCACTTTTAAATGCATAGAAAGATGACGTTTTCATCTTGTCTAAGGTCAGTTCCACCCCTCTCCCCGCTTGCTCAGCATTCAGCCCAGTCATTGTGAAGTGCTCAGACACAGTATGTGAAAGGCGCTATATAATTACAAGTTGTTTCACAAATATTTCAAGAGTGGTAAGCTTTCTTATTTACTTTCTTATTTGTATCTAAGTTTAAGTGTTTCTCCTTCAATTTCTGATCTTTAAAATCTGTTTCAAAATTAATTTACTGTTTGGAAGCATAGTAAACTACATCAGACTGTGAACATTTCAGATTTATTGCATATTGCAAAGCTAATACCTAGTGTAGACACTATTGACATGGATTTCTTTGAATTTGACGGTTGCAATAAAGCTAAAGTGAATTAAGATCAACAGATAGACAACCATTGGTGCCACAGGTTGGAGCACCAGTATCCTTCTTGCCATTGCAGTTTGTCAAGACACAAGTCTTAAATTTTTCACCTTTGTCCCAACTATTTATTTTTATAATTAAAATATACATTAAAATATAACATTAAAACATGAATTCCTTTAAATGAAATGTTCGCATCCAATCCATCTCTGAGATGCCTAATTTCGGACACAGCAGTAAGGCCCTGGGCACGAGAGCTTGATCTTTTGATATAATAGCCATTTTAAACGGTGTTGTTTTCATACAGGCTGATCAATAAATTACAGGCATTAGTTGTCCCAAGAATCCTATTGCATCTGCTTGGAAAGGGGTGGAGTGGGAGAGAGCCGTTATCCTCAGGCTTATGCCAGCTTATGTTCCAGCAGCAGATTTTCTTTTTATAAAAATAAATAGATCACAAGATCCTCTGAGGGCCGTAGTTTCTTAATCTAGATCCGAAACATCCGTTCCATTTGGTGAAGATGTCTTGTTTGGCAGATCTTTCCTGGTGACGGAAGCGTCCCCTAAGTTAGAGGTGATTTCAACCTCAATCAAATTAATGTAGCTCCCACTCAGATTGTTTTCAGGGATGTGGAGGAATTCTCTAATATTTGCACCTTTCCTGCAATGTGCTTCAAAGTGTATGAGGAGTTAGGGTTAGTATGGGTACAATACAGTATATTGTATGGGGAATGTACACTGTTTTCACATCAGTTTATGTTTCTAGAAATCTGAGCCAGTTTTTGTGAACCTCAATTTGCTCTGTAACTTTCATGTTATGTGCGAATGTTTGGGTTCTTAAGCAGTGTGTTGCATTGAGGTTTATACAATCATCTGATGACCGGGTGGGGTGTGGGATTCTCCATTTTACTTGTTGGTACAAACCATGGTTCTTTATTTTTTTAGGACAGATGACCAATGGATTGAAATAGTGGCATTCCATTTGTTGGTTATAGAAGATGAACCTTAACCTTCTTGATATGGTCTTGTTATTGTGTGCACTACCCTTTGCATTTCAGTATATTTTGCATTATAGTCACGATACTTTCATTTATCTTATTTTTTAAACATTGCCTCTTTATTTCAGGTGATGCCTGATGTTGTCATGTTGCAAAGGCGAATGCCCCAAACCTTCCGTGATCCTATTTCTGCTCCACTAAGAAAACTTTCTGTAGATTTGATCAAAACCTACAAACATATTAATGAGGTAAAATTTAATTCTACCTTTTGTAATGGATCGGTTTTGAACATCAGTGTTTAATAAGTTTTCTACATATTCCAGAAGGGGGAAATCTTGAAACGTTTATTGTGTGAGACAATTTATAGCCTAGTATCCAGGAATAGAAAAACTACTTCTGAGTAATTCCAGTATTGAATACTGAAGGTGATTTCTAGTTTCTTTCCATGAAAATGGACTTTTGGGTGATTTATCAGATCACTTTACATTTGAAGTGCAATACCCATTTACATTTCTGTGTTTAAAGATGCAAAATATAAGTCAAATTGAATCAATCTGCAAGTTGCATAAAGACTTCTTGTCGTTCTAAGTGATCAAAGTAGGTTGTCAGTATTGAATGCCCAATTTTTTATTGTCACAGAGCAACATAATTTAGGAATGTGCTTTGAAATCTGGCAAACTGAAGCATATTGCACTAAAATCACACTAATAAGATCTTAAAAATAAATAGACTTTTACTTGGTCTTCATTGTTTTTAGCCCCATAAAGTTTCAATAAGGATTGATGTCTTCTATTGTTTGGTTGTGTTGCTGTGCTATGCCTGGAAGCAGGATGTGGCATTTGACTCATGTGAAGTAATACTTGTTTCTCTCTTGCTTCCCCCCCCTCCCCCCTCTCCCCTAACCCAGGGAAAATAAATTCCAGAATGGTTTAGAATACTTTCAATACTGTTTACTCAACATGTGACACTGTGTGATTTAATAATAAGCAAGGAATCAAACAATTCTTTGGAAGAACATAATTATATAAAGCGCTAAAGCTCAGGATGCCAATTGGACTGTAATTATTCTCTGGGCATCGGTTTTATGAAAAGAAATTCAAACTCTATGGGCACAATGAACTATTTCAACTTGTGTGTTTTGTAGGTGTACTATGCAAAAAAGAAAAGACGGCACCAACAAGGTCAAGGAGATGATTCAAGTCACAAGAAAGAGAGGAAGGTGTATAATGATGGCTATGATGATGACAATTATGACTATATTGTAAAAAATGGAGAGAAATGGATGGACCGATATGAAATTGACTCCTTAATTGGTAAAGGGTCCTTTGGACAGGTGAGTACTGAGCTATGAACACTGAACCCACAACTAATTGAGATTAAGATGACGAGTGACGAGGAAGAGGTCCAAAATCCAGAGAGAGCTTGTATTCTGTTACCCTTACAGTACAGATGATTCAGTACAAATTACTGTGTCATCATGTTCATATTTGATTAATCATATCTTCTCATACTGCCTATAGTTGTGGACAAATCCTGTCAATAGTTTTGAGTTTCCATTGCAGTCAACTAAGAGCTAACTGTTAGTATCAGTTTGTTCGTCATGCTAAGAGGAAGATGAATACTGTTCAGAGAGTCTGAGACCTTTAAAGGATCTTCAGAGTAATTGTGTTAGAAAGACTGACCTTAAAAAAATGGGGGGGGGGAGGGAGTGGATAACGTTTCTAGTTCATTCCAGCAGGGGTTTGCCAAAGAGAAATCCCAGTTAAATATTTATTTGCTAGCAAAGAGCTCTTTGGCAGACAGGAAGTCCATCTTTGTTACTTGAATAGTCCTTTGTCAATTGTGAGAAGTGGCACTTTGAGAAGCAATCCACTAAACAGGCTATTATTGAGGCACCGACCGGTGTGGTATAAAATGGAATGACTGCAAGGCTAAAATTTGGTCACAAATTTTTGGTTGGAATGCCTGAATTGTATTTATTAGAATGATGACTTTTCTTGGTTGCAGCAGTACTGTGCAGCGGACAGTATTTTCTACAAAATATCTTGTCTGGCAATGATGGTCTTCAAAATCTATTGCTTTACTTTACTCTGTTTTTTTTAATGGTTTTGATTACCTGAAAATTCTCGTCTTCCTCCTTGCCTTACTCGTAGGTTGTGAAAGCTTATGACCGCGTGGAACAGGAGTGGATAGCAATAAAGATCATCAAGAACAAGAAGGCATTCCTGAATCAGGCGCAGATTGAAGTTCGGCTGCTTGAGCTTATGAACAAACATGACACTGAGATGAAGTACTATATAGGTAATTGACCTATTACTTAACATATAGGCAATTGCCCGTACACTGCATGAATATAAGTACATTAACCCACCAATAGTGGCTGCATTTTACAGTCAAGGATTATGAAGTACAGGGCTAATTTGCTTCCTTCCTGGCTGTTTTATGTTCTTGAATTCTGCATTCTTTCATTAGCTAATTCAATTGTCTAATTACAAATCGTAACTTGTCTCCTAATTTAAAAAAAGTTCAATATAATGGTGCACTTGGAATATGGATTCCATTAGATTAGCTTCCCATTAAATTGGTTTCATGTCACCTTCCCTTCTGTTATTTGTAACAGTAGTGAGTTGTCACTTTGTTACGTCCACAATGTATTGCTTACTTGACGCTGTTCTTTTAATGGTTTTAATTATCTTAGAATTCTGATATTTGGAAATGTATGGTTGCTGAATATTGAGATGTCTAACAGCCTAGAAAAATTCTATTTGAAATTAGTATTTATGTTGTGTTTTTGAAAAGTTTTGGTAAACTTTGAACTCTATGAACTTGTGTGCATGCTGTGTTGTGTGCATATGGTTTCTTGCGCACCAATGTCAATATTATTGAAACACAAGTTCAACTCTATAACATGACGGATAGGATGTCTAAATATTTTCCTGGAAAGACGTCTTCTATCAAAGAAAGCGATACAGTAGAGATGCATTTTGATGCCTATTCGGGAGTAAGGTGACTCACATTTTTTTTAAAAAAAAAAGGATTAATGAAAAAAACTGATGATTGCTTAGATTGTTCATGAATTAACACAGCTACCGAGTGAAAGCTTGAGCTATATAGGCTGTTCCATGGTAATGGGACAGAGATGGATTTGAAGATCAGCCCAGTTAACTGGTTGATATCTAGCCCTGCACTCCATCTGGTGGCCCAAGTGAGAAATTGGAAAGCACACTATACACAGTGTCAGGTGGATTCAAGTAACAGACACCCCTTAGGAGTGAAAGCACTGGCGTTCTGATTCCCTGACCAAGACTTCATTTTAATAAAACGTTCAAGTGGAATATTGGACCAGTTTCTTTACTCCACACGCCTGATCATAATCCCTCAAGAAAAAAAAACCAATAATAAATTGGTCACTTCAAACCACGACTGTTTGTGGAACACTGCTGCGCGTAGAGTGCTGCCACGTTTCGCCCACAAATATACAGTCAATTCACTTTACAGTATATTCCGTGAAGCGCTTTGAGACATCTAGAAGACGTGAAAAGCACTATATCAAATGCAAAGGTTATTATTATTATATTCTACAATGGTCTTACCCTAAATTAATTGTAGAAAACTTTGTAGTAAACCAAAGCAAATTTCTGAAATATCCCAATGTGCCTTTCTGGAGCCATTGTATAATGAATGTTTAATGTAAATTTAAACTCTCTTTCAATTCCCCCTCCCACTCCCTCCCCCGCATCCAGTGAATATGATTATTTTGAACTTTTAATTTTCTTCAAGTAATTTGTCTTCAAGTGGTGCACTGGCAGTTTTTGCCAGATCTTATTGCAAACGTCTTTAGGCCTTACCTTAAAACCTTTTGTTGATCAGCAGTTGACACTTTTCATCATAAGACGTTTCAACAAAATATTTATGAAACTTTTTTGCATACAGTCTTAAGAAATGTCTTTCAAGTTAGCGAATGAAAGATGCACCCTACACTGTGCATATCACAATAATAATGATCTTTGCATTTGAGATAACACCTTATGTCAAAGCGCTTCACAGAATATATTGTAAAACAATCGACTGTGTTTTTCTGGACAAAATCACAAATATCCAACTGATGTGAAAGCCACTATATAAATGTGAATTGTTTGTACCGCTAACAGAAAACTGTAGAGGCTGGTAATTTACCGGTAAACAGCATGTCTCTACTTGCTGCAGTTTCTAAACTTCAGTTAACTTTAGGGCTTGTTTCACCAAAAGCCACCACCATTTGAAGTTTGCAATATTTTCACAAATAAATTTCACAATCGAGCCTGAACCAAATTTAAGGTGTAGTAACCCTTAGTTCATTGTTTCTTTCAGATCTATAAAGTGACTACCTTTTTAGATTCTAGGTTTTGTTCATTTTATAGTAACTTGTCAGCCTGGCTCAGTTGGTAGCACTCTCGTCTCTTTTTATAGCACGTTTTTCAAATGGTTCTAAAATTATTGGATTCAATATTCACCGTTAAGAGAAAGTTGTTTTAATAATACTTGCCATGCTGCCTTTCTAATTTAATCGTTGTGCTGCTTTTGACTCATTTATAAAATGTTATTGCTTGCTATCATTGCTCATAATGTACTTGTGTAACCTAGCAATTTAGTTCATTGCTTTCATTTCAACTCTTTATAGTTGGAGTGTTTTTTGCTGTGAAGAAACTTGTAACATTTCAAATTCGTTAAATTAGAGATATGCGCTCTGGGACACTAACCTGCGTGAAGAGCGCTATATAAATGCAAGTTGTTGTTATTGTATGTGCATCAAACACAGGGCTCATAAGTATTTTTTTTACAAAAATGTTTTTTTCTCTTTCACAGTTCATCTGAAGCGACACTTTATGTTTCGAAACCACCTCTGCCTTGTCTTTGAGATGCTATCCTACAACCTCTACGACTTGCTCCGCAACACCAATTTCCGCGGAGTTTCACTAAATCTTACACGAAAGTTTGCACAGCAGATGTGCACTGCTCTGCTCTTTCTTGCCACACCGGAGCTCAGCATTATCCATTGCGACTTAAAACCCGAAAACATCCTGCTGTGTAATCCAAAACGGAGCGCCATCAAGATTGTTGATTTTGGTAGCTCCTGTCAACTGGGGCAAAGGGTAGGTATCATTACCTTATGGTTTATGTACAGACGTTACTCTTCAAATTAGATAAGCTTCAGTTTAAGCGCTCCGAGATTCCTTCTGTCGTGAAGGCCGCTATACACATGCAACTTGTTATTGTAGTAAATTTTGACCTTTTTTATTTTAAAGAAACTGACTTTTGTAGCTTTTGGAAAAAAAAATGCCTCCAATAGAGCAAGCCCTCATGAAATAATTTCCCTTGACTTGAAAGAAGTTCATTCTTTTGATGAATGAAACATAACCTTTTGTTTTTTAAATCCACATGTTTTTTGGGGGGAAATATAGCAAAGAACTTGATTTTTGAAAAGGCATACGTTTGCAAATGTCCAGTATGTAAATGCTTTTTCTTTTTAGGTACAAGGTGTCTAATGATCACATTCCTTGTTTGGGTTTTGAAAGGACCAACCATCATAAATTATCATTAGTTTTGAGATTTGTGCTGCAGAGTTGTAAGGGAGTTGATTTCTGCAACTTCCTTTTTTACTAGTTGCAACCCAGTGTTTTGCTCGACACTCCCCACTTCCGTGAGCTTTCTGTGTAGCAAATCCTGAGCACAAACTAGTGTCCCATGATTCAATGGCACTGTATGTTGTAACTGTGCAGTATGCCCTCAAGATGTATAGATCATAAGATCTGTTCACATGAAGGTCAATTAGCATATTGCAGAATACCAAATCATTCAGTCTTTCCATTACACCTTCAAGCGTTTTCCTAAATGGGTTCAGCTTCCTGGCCTCTTATCACCCTTCCCATTCCAGCTGTCAGTTGCTCTCTGCATAAAGAAATGTGTGACTAGTTTACTTCCCAGTGATTGAAATCCACAATAATCCAGAAAATGAACAGGGCTGCAAGTTGCATCCAATGTGCAATAGAGTATTGCTTAAATACTAATGTGTTCCAGTCAAATTAATTAGATATCCTACAAAAAAAAACAATTAAATGGTCATTTTAATTTACAATCAAGTAATCCAAAACACAATTGTGTATAGACTACGTGGATTATATATCGGCTGTAACTCAGGCCTACAATTACAGTCACCTCTGGTTTTCCTAAACTATTATTTAAAAAAAGAGCTGAATATTAGCATCCAAACTGAAGAGGTTAAGGGAATTGTCCTCCAGTTTGTTATAAATGCGTACAGAATCCATTCATAAATGTGCTTTAAAAAGTAGTTTTTTTATGTCTTTCTAACAATACAAATTGACTAGATGCTACTGGTCTTTTATATATGTTGTGTTTTTAGAATATTTTGGATTATTTATAAGGAAACTATATTTAAAGTGTGTTGTATAACAGTGTAGATGCTGAAATATACCAATGTCAAGGGCTTGTTTGTTTGACAGTGTTCAGAACTGGTAGTGCAAGAACAGCAACTCACGCTGCTATGTGTGCCTTTCCAGTAAGTTTCAAGCCAGCACACTTCTAACCTAACACAACATAGTAGAACTATTTGCATATAAATGCTTCTGTGTGGAGTGTCTGTGTAAAGAATTAATTAGGCATATCTACCAATAAAGTAACTGACTTTTGCTCACACACACATACACACGCAGAGTGAGCCTGAGTTGCTACAACGCAGTCTGCTTCTGCAGCCTTCACTATAGTGCCAGTTATTTCCGAGTGTCTACCATTCCCAAATTTGGTAATCAATCTGAATCTTCGATGCACATTCAGACGAAAGGATCAACGTATTCATGAGTGTGTACAAATCTTTCATTGAAATTTCAATGATTGCAGCGTTCAAAAAAAAAAGTTGGTAAACTCAATTGATCAAAGTATTCGTTGTCCCATATCCTTTAAACAATATTTTTAAAAAATAAATAAATGGTGTGCAGTGTGCTATCTTGGAATAAGTCCTCTTCTTGATGAGGGTTGGGATACCTTTGATATATTTGGTGGGTGATTTGTCATAGAATGAGTTGCTGTGCGAGTTTTTAAGGTTTGACTGCTCTTTTGCTGGAATGGATACAAATTGCTGAAATAGCATAGCGCTAGTAATTGTGGAAACTTAATGTAAACTTTGAGATTATAGAATAAACTTAGGCATCAGAAGAGATGAAGTTGATGTTAAAATTTGTTTTTGACTTTCGGCATTCACTAATTTTAATGCTAACTGTCGCATTTTATGTTGTAGATATATCAGTACATTCAAAGTCGCTTTTACCGCTCACCAGAAGTATTGCTGGGAATGCCCTATGATCTAGCTATTGACATGTGGTCATTGGGCTGTATTTTGGTGGAGATGCATACTGGAGAGCCTCTCTTCAGTGGAGCTAATGAGGTAAGGAATCATCTTTTCAAGGCATGCAGTAAAATATTCTACTATAGAGCCCAAATGTATGCCAAACTGGATAAATGTGGAGAATATTTAGGTAATATCTTGGTCATTTGCCGGTATGCTTTGATAAGAATATTAATATAACATAGTTTTGGACTTTCTGTATTGGTTTGCAGTACTATTGCTCTCTTTACTGTGAAATATTAGTAATCTTAACATGGTACTGCATGAGAAAAAGGATAGTTGTGTTGTATATAACAACATTCTAATGAAACTATTGCCTGTATGTAATGATCCTTTGCAATGGGTATAACGCATTTCATGTCTGGAGGAAGTCTCAAAAGAGCTTCACAATATTTACCATAAAGTGTAGTGTATTTATAGGCGAACACAGCATTTGCACAAAGCAATGCCCCCAAACAGTCATGAAGTGAGTGACCAGTTTAAATGCAGTCTGCATATACAGGGTGACCAAAAAGTTGTGATACCATTACGAAGTCTGATAAGTCTTAAAGAAATGATTTTGTTTAGATGATGGGGTAGATATCAGGAAGTTTTGTTCACCTTGTACTTGTTTATCTGAAGGTCCTGCAGCTTCTATGGACAATGATCAGAGTGGATGGATTGTTTTCATTATAACACATAAATAACTAAGTATTGCATTGAAGTAGAGTCTGTTTAAGCTTCCGTACATTACATTGCTAAATAAACAAGCAAAACCCGTTCTTCTTTCAGGAGATACCCGTCTTATTTAAAAAATACAATCCAATTCTCCACCAGCAACAACAACGTGCACCTGTATCGTGCCCTCCACGCAGGGTAGCATCTCTGAGCGCTTAAGTGTTCTTAAGTATTCACCACATATTCTGAAAGATTTGCTGCTCTATTGTAGAGAAATCTAGATTGCTTTTTTTTCCACACGAGTGACTATAATGTTGAATTCCTCGTTCCCACTGACTCAGTAGCAAAGTTTCCCAGTAAAAAAACTGAAGATTTGGCAGTCTTATTGGATACTGGAGTTCAAAATACAAGTTGTACTAATCAAAGGGGACAATATTGTTAAATCTAAGTACTCCAAATAATTTTTCCCCTCCTTGGAAACCTGGCCACCGTTGAGTCACTTTTTCCCAATAGAGACTGCAGGAATGAGGAGCGATGCCAGAACTGAAGTGAGGAAAAAGCTGTAGTGTTACAATCTAGTTTCCTCTATAACAAAAGCACAAATGACTGGGAAAGAGAATCAGTACTGTAGTAAATTTCAGTCTGGATACCAGCTGATAAAAAAGCCATGGAGGGCCAACTTGTTTAAATCGGTCCAGTTTTTCTCACGGTCTAAATTGCTGTATACACCAGCAAGACAAAGATAACCTGCAAAACGCATAGTCACTCCACTTTGCAGTAAATCCTGCAAAGCGCTTTGAGACGTCCTACTAAATTGAAAGGCACGGCATCAAAAGTAAACCATTTACACGCTGTTTTCATTTAAAATATTTTTTTAAAAAATCTCTGGTTTAAATTGATCTGAACTCGGATTGCTACAGGTTTGAATTATCGCTGTCCTTTTTGGTTAAAGGCCTGCTGCCTTTTAGTGTGTTTTGCCTTAACTCTGATGCAGCAGAGCTGCTGGGCAATATCCACATCCTCTTAGATCCAGAATATTTGGACGAGAAAAAAGGATAACATTATATATGTTAGAGCCATCTTTTAAAATTTAGCATTCCACTGATAAAGGACTACATTTGAACTGAGCCCACACGCTGAACCGAGCAGTACTTTTTTGGGGACGGGGGGGGATTTATTGCACGAGTTTTGAACAATTTAACGTGAGAATCCTAGGCAGGTTTCCTTGCTCCACACGCCTCTGTTTATCTAGCAGTAAGCAGGAACCTGGTTGTTAGTCGATTGCTGGATCACTTTCCAGGGGTAATCATCCCTTCAAAAAAATAATAATTTGGTCACTCAATCCACGACCGTTTGTGGGGCAAACTGTGCTGTGCCCAATTAGCTGCTGTGTTTCGTCCACAAAATTTACAGTCAATTCACTTTATAGTGTATTCTGTGAAGCGCTTTGAGAAGTCTTGATGCAAGCATTATTCTTCTTATAGAAAAGTTTGCACCCAGGGCTACCATTGGATCGTGATCACAAACGGTGTAGCCATTTTTTGTACTGCATGAAATGTCATGAAAATGTTCCTTTATTCAGGATCATGTAGTACAACTGGAATTCAAAGGAGCATTCATCCTTCTCAACTTAAGTACTTAAAACAAACAGCCAGGGAAAGCAGAAGTATACTCCTGCTTCACTCAAAGACGTGTATTTTATTTAAATGCTAATAGCTTTGTAGGAAGCCAGCACCGTTTATGAATTAAACCCCCCACCCCCCCAAATAGCAGACTGTTTGCCTCAGCATATTTCTGAAGTAATAATTGAACAGAGAGTTGATTGTGCCATGGAATGTTCTAATATTTTGAAAAATGTGGTCTTAACTATTCATTCCACATAGATTTTACTGTAAATGCCTGAAGTGCAAAGCAAAACCTACTTGTATTTTATGTTTAATAATTGTCTCTTAAAATTTTATTCTGTGTCAATGGATGATGAACCCCTCTATCTAAATATTGTGCACTTTAAAAAGTGATCCGTTTGTCCTCCTTTGTGCATATAACTTTTCCCACAAAATACAATCAATTCACTTTACAGTATATTCTGTGAAGTGCTTTTAGACATCTCGAATATACGATAAGGTGCTATATCAAATGCAAGGATTATCTTATTTTCTTATTTCATTCATCCAGTTTAGGTTAAGATAGGTTGCAACATTTTGCCTAATTTAAAATATTATAAACGTACTACTACTCTAGGTTTATAAGAAATTAATACCATTTAAATACGTTACATTCTTTGAAATGCCTTATTTGTGCATAAACTTTTAATTGTTTGACCCAATATTGATTGAACACAATATGACTATCATCACACTGCACTTTAATACTGTATTTAATTAGGCAACCAAGCCTGCTGAGATTTTTGTAGTTCTGATCTATGGTCAGAGGGTTATGCTTAAAAAGAAATCTTTTTTGAAAGAAAGAGGAAATTGCCAGATTATAAAACTATCAGCTTGATAAATATCCATAAATAGGTAGATATTAATTGAGGGAAATGCCAAATCAAATTCCCTGTGTGGATTAAATTCACTGATCAAGATTATTGCCATTTTGTGCACAATGTGTTTATTATTTTGTGGGTGTTATATGTTCAGTATATTCTGTGAAGCACTTTGAGACATCGCAAAGGCTTGATAAGGCACTATATCAAATGCAAGGATTATTATTATTATGTTAAGTAACCTCCAACTTTTTCACAGCTATCCCCAAAATGTCACTTCCTTTATCTTAAGTCATTTTCTCTCAATCTCCTTAGGTGGATCAGATGAACAAAATTGTGGAAGTTCTGGGAATCCCTCCATCTCACATCTTAGATCAGGCCCCAAAAGCGCGGAAATTCTTTGAGAAATTGCCTGATGCCTCGTGGACAGTAAAGAAGACCAAAGATGGCAAGAGGGTGAATATCAAGAGTAACATAAAAAAAATTGGAAACACAGTAAGGAACTGAACTTAATGTATTTCAAATAATTGTAAAACACGATTTGTTTTTTCCCCCACTTATCTACATGCAATGGCTTGTGCCCAATGTGGATCTTCTAGAAGACTGGGATGGTCTGAGTGATTGATTTCATGGCTACAATTAATCTGATTGCAAGACAAACTAACAGACCTAGAGGCATTGGGGTGATTGTTTCTAAATGTGTTGAGGCACTTAAGTGGACAAGGTTTCTTTGTGGGTGTGACATTCTTGGAATCTATCAAGGTGTCGACTGTTATCCATTGTGCGTATGAATTTTCCTTTGTAACTTGAAGTCTGATCAGCCCCTGTCTTCAAGGAGAAGGCTGAAAAAAGACCCAGTTGATCAAAGTAGTAGGTCTATCAATGAGCTCTGTCACAGCATTGAACTCTGTCGCTTTTGAGCTTGGGTTACCAATGCAGAGCGATCAATAATGTAAATAATTTAGTGTTGGTTGAATTTACATGAACGACTTCTTTCTAGCTGTATTAATTTTCACCCTAACTTCCAGGGGGGCAGGGAAGGGGGGATTGCACAAGTAGTTCACATCTTCACATATTTTTCTTCCCCTTTAAAGTTTCAACTTGGTTATTCTTAACCTTTCAAAATTCTTACAATTTACTCCCAAGCGGGAGGCTTGTTCCTTTCCAACCCACCCACCCCCATCTCCATCCCATTTGTCCATCCGTCTATTTATCTGTCTGTCTCGTCACACACACAAGCATAGTGGAATTGTGAATCTTGTCAATATTAGCAATATAACAATGCTTTGGTGGGTTACCCGTTATCTTGCATTCCATTTTATTGGTGTTGAACTATTACTAAGCGCTCAATCTTTTTGAATTCGGCTTCCAATTGCGTGCATGCATATGTGTAGAATAATTGATCCGCAGGCTTGAGCATGCAGGGGCTGAATTTTCTTGTTCAATGCTTGTCTCACAGGAATATAAGCCCCCTGGATCCCGCAAGCTTCACAATATCCTAGGAGTAGAAACTGGTGGCCCTGGCGGGCGCCGAGCTGGAGAATCTGGCCACACAGTAGCTGATTACCTGAAGTTCAAGGACTTGATTCTGAGGATGCTGGACTATGACCCTAAGACCCGGATAGCCCCCTATTATGCACTGCAACACAGCTTTTTCAAAAAGACCGCAGACGAAGGGACAAACACAAGCAATAGTGTGTCGACAAGTCCCGCCATGGAGCAGTCACAGTCTACAGGCACCTCTTCAAGCACATCCTCGAGCTCAGGTACATACTCTGCAAATAGTGCTACAGATCAACTTTCTACTTCACAATGGAAAGCTGCAGGGACAGCCTTTCCAATGATGTGGTCCATCAGATGAAATGCGGCGGTTTATACAGAACGAAATGTGTTTCTTTCCACCTTTGTAACCATTTCAGCGTCAGGTTCGAGTGAATTTGTCAGGGGGAAATTGCGGTGCTGCAAGGATATCTCGATTGCGGGGAAAGCTCTGTTGTGACACACTTAACACCTTTGCCTTTACAAGTAGCGTTAGCTGAGTAAACAGGTGAGTTAACCGAACTCAGCTGGAAGCGTATTAGGAGTAGCATGATTGGTCACTGAGTGGGAAGGAGGAGAGAAACTGGCAGTCAGAGGACAAAAGGCCTGCTTCAGGGAACTCCTCATTGGAAATGCATCCGAGGACAGAATTGTGCTTGGTTGTGATGGTCACCTCTGTCCTCCCCCACTTTTCTTCTGGAGATGAATAGGCTGTTGTTGGTCACTGCCCAGGCACACGTGGAGAATGGCCAACGGGAAAGATACTAACTTGGTCAGCACTCCTTGAATTGTACTCGAGGGTGGGGAAGAGAATCATTTATAGAAAGCAAGAAGCATAAAATATGACTTTCCAGTAACCCAATCAAATATTGGGACCAAAAATGAGAATTCACTTCACCTTCAGTTTGTGGGGTGCTTGCTTATTAAAATGGCAATTCTGCATAAGGACAGGAAATACCAGTTGAACTATTAAGCCTGTTCAGTCATGTTATTAGTTCAGGAAGGTCCTCTTAATTTTGAAACCTGTACATCTGTAACTTGAGTTGTATGTAAATGTTCTCATGTCTATATTTATAATACATGTACAAGCTATCATATTTCCAAACATCTACTTAAATATACTGTTTCGCCCACAAAGTATACAGTCAATTCACCTTACAGTATATTCTGTGAGGCGCTTTGAGACGTCTCAAAGACGTGATCAGGCGCTATATCAAATGCAAGGACTATTATTATTAAATAAGTTGGTTGGAATCCTACATTTCAATTGCTGTCTGCCGTGACTTGCCTCTGCAAAAAATGAAAGGGGGTAGAAGATGTTATAAGTTTGTATATATCTGTAAATAATTACACACACATTTTGGAGTGCTAAGCAGCAACACATTTACGGGTTGATGTATGATTGGTAAACCACTTGATGATCTTGTAGTTATTGATGTCAGCTCATTTTTTTTTATGTGTTGCTGCTTTCTAACTCTCGAAGACTCCGCTTAATAAATCCTATGTTTAATCTGTAAATGTGTGACGTACTAAAACACTAAATGCTTCTGCTTATTGTTGAGGAATGTGCCCTGTACTTTACACAAACCAAATCCAAGCTATCCTAACACACTAACATTTATTTATTGAAACCTTTCAGTGTCTTGTAACGTGCAGTACATTTAAGACGTATTTTCCAAAGGTTCAGTTGAAATGACCTGCAGCCGACACAGATTCGATTTTTTTCCCCCCACCACCTTCTCTTTTCCCAACCTCACACCACACAGTAAGTTTTGCTTGTGTGTTTTTTTTACAAAGCATATGCTAATGCTCATCTTTAACAGGTGGCTCTTCTGGGACAAGTAATAGTGGAAGGGCAAGGTCAGACCCAACGCATCAGCATCGGCATAGTGGTGGGCATTACAGCGGAGCTGTCCAGGCCATGGACTGCGAGACACACAGCCCACAGGTGAGCTCTGTGTTTGAAAAAAGTCTCCAGTGCTCCCTTCACATCCCTGTGGTCACAGGTCTGAGCCCCGAACTCTCTGACACTGAATCCTGCCAAACCCACACCCCGTGTGATTGGCTTTGTCAGTGGCTTTGATCGGGGATTCTCCTAAAAGAAGCAGCACCTTTTCTCAGGAGAGAAATGGAGCTGATCGTGTGCTCTGCATCTCTCAGTGGTAAATGTGCCTCCCATCGAGCTGATGGCGGACAGCAGCAAAAGTGCCCATAAAGAAATAGGCAGCTTGCAGCCTCCTAGCTAAAGGAGGAATTGTAGGCAAGGAATCCTACGAGGGAAGAAGGGAGGAGGTGGTGAAATAAAGTGGAAACATTTGGAGCGGGTGGGGGACGAATCGTCTCCAGTGTCTCACATTAGTATTTTCAGTGTTTCATATTAATACTTCCAACGTGTGAAAAATGTGGCTCACAGCTTTTTTTTTGTCCTCATTCTAAACTTTTTATCCCTCCCGATTCCAAAAGCGAAAGGCCTCCCCTCTCCCAATTTATACATGTTTTATTTAGAACTACATCTGATTTATCCTCAGTTCTCCTGAATCCAACTGTCATGTAGAAATATTTCTTGATTCATCTTTACTCAAAACACCATTTTATTTTGCTATTAACAGCAGCCTGTCCTTGTGCTTACAGTGTGTGTTGCAGATATTCGTTTTGTTTTGAACTATGTACCGTTGAAAGAAAACCTTGAATGTGATTATTATTCAGGCCAGTTCGGTCATTTCATTAGTTCAGGGGCCTGAGGTGTGTGTCCCTGTTCCGTTAGTTGCCTATGCTATTATGCTGTAGGTGAAATGCCAGTCATAGATTATTTTATGCTTCAAAAGCTACAGACTACCGGTGTACCTACACTGATGATGCGTAGACCTCATGGAAAAATTCCAGATCATTTTATTGAAAACATAAACTGAACTGGTCTGTGTCGAGTTAATTGACTCCAACCAGGGGCAGCAGGTAGGATGTTGTAATTAACCTAAGGGTTACTGGCCTGCATCAACTGCAACCCAGAGACTTCTGTTGGACTTTGTACCTGTGTGTACGGTGTGCGTGGTATTGTACATATAAACAAGGTAAGGACCTGATTAGACTCGCCGGGTGTGGTTGAGTAGCCTGATAACGCCAGCTGTCAAGGCTCACACATGAAGAATCATTTAGGTGGGAGATGCAAGAGCACAGCTGGAGTTCATGGGTCTGTGTACCTGTGTAAAAGGGTGGGGTAGGGGATGACTTATCGGGAGAATTTTGGTGATGGTGGGGACGGGGAGAAAATTGAAGAGTTGGTGTGAGGAAAAATGTGGCTTGGTAAATTTCGTAATAGATCTGAATAACCTTTTCCTGTGCATTTCTGTTCGTTTTTAAACATTTTAGGTTCGACAACCGTACCCTGTAGCATTGGGATGGACACCTGGTGATGCCACTACACAGGTCACAGTTGAAACTCATCCAGTTCAGGAGACAACGTTCCACATTGTTTCCCAACAGCAGAGTGCATTGCACCACCACCACCCTAACAGCTCCCACCACCACCATCATCATCACCACCATCACCATGGACAGCAGGCCATGAGCACTCGGAACAGGCCGCGAGCTTATAACTCCCCGACAAACGGTTCCGCTGCCCAGGACTCTATGGAGGTGGGACACAGCCACCACTCCATGACGTCCTTGTCTTCCTCAAACTCCTCTTCCTCCACCTCTTCGTCATCCGTTTCTGGCTCCCAGGCTTACCACAACCGGCCAGTCGTTGCGAACACTTTGGACTTTGCCCAGAACGGCACGGTGGACGTTAATTTGGGCGCATACACCAACCCCCGCCAGGAGACGGGAGTGTCCGGGCCGCCGGTCTATCAGTTCTCCGCAACGGCGGGTCCTGGCCATTACATGACAGAGGGACACTTGTCAACGCGGCAAGGAATGGATAGGGAGGAATCCCCGATGGTAGGTGTTTGTGTTCAGCAGAGTCCCGTGGCAAGCTCATGACTACTCTGAGATGGGGGGTTGTTTTTGTTTGTGTGTCTTCAATGGTGGGGGTTTTAAAAACAAAATAAAAGTGCATTGAGAACAGTGCTGCTTTGGAACAAAGGAACCGGAACGGACAGGTCAAGAACACAGAGCTGATTTTATTTTTAAATTGAAAAGGAATTCTGCGAACGGGACTGTGGAGTGAAAGTGCTTAAGACTGAAGCCATGCCCCCCCCCCCCCTCCCTCTTCCCTCATCCCCGCTTCTTAAAAAAATAAACAACACCTCACACTTCGTTATGGGTCACCCTTTTGTGAGGTGTTGCCTCACCTTAAGCTACAGTCCTCTCACAAAGCATTCCCCGCCACCTATGTTGGCACGACTTGGCATGGGTGAAGTAGCAGCATTTGTTTACACGCCACCCCTGTTGGAAAAAGAAAATGGAACTCTGCAGATTGTTCGTCAAAACAATCCACACCTTTCAGACTTTCCTGACTCATTTGGTGTCAGTTTTTTTTTTAAAAAAAAAACACAAAAAGAAAAAGTCCCCCACGTCCTAGCACGGTCCTGCGATGTGCTGCAACAGAGGAGAACTTGACAAAGTGGAACTCGCTGCCCTTTAAAACAGGAGCAGTGTATGAACTGAGAGAAAGAACACTGTAAATGGAATTTCAAAAAGCACATCTGTCTGGCATGCCGAGTGGTGGTTAAGTTAAAAAAAAAACACACACATCCTTGTTCTAAATCGTACAGGAGCTTTGAGTGGAGATTTGTTTTGGCCCTCAATTGGTTGGATCATTCAATGGCTCTCGAGTTGCGATTGAACATTCATTAAGGTCTGGTCATTAAGATGCGAGTGAGTGGCAATCATCTGGTCATCCGTGGCCCCTGCTATTTTACCTTTTCCGAGCGGCAGTCTTGATCGGTATCCTGGGCTTTTTTGATTTTTGGACATTTGACTTAAAACTCGTTTCCCAAGAGCCTGGGCTGACTTTAAGATGCCGTAGTGCGGAGGTTATTGAACTTATAGAAAGTCCTTAATTCTACAAAAAAAAAAGCAAGCATGGGTAATTCATGAGGCCTTTGTTGGAGGGGGAGAAAAAAACGACCCTTATCCCATCCCGTTCTCTTCTGACCCCTCCGCCGCCAGATGCAGGGATTGAAGAGGTCACGTGTGTCATAAAAGTTGCTTCCTTTGTTAAAGGTCGCAGAAGTAGCTGTCTTGAGTCCTGTTGGATATAGCTATAACTGTGTCCTTTCTTGGATCCTCCTTGCCCAACCCCCCCACCAATCCCGCCCCATTTTTTTTGTTCTTGGCTTTTCCTTCAGCACGTGATTTTTCCCCACCAGTACTTCTGCGCGAAGACATCTTTCTGTTCATCGTGAACATTTTTAAAAAAAAAAAGAAACTGCAGAATTTTATGTGACTGCTCTCGCCTCACGATTATGCTGTGAATTTTACCAGAATTTATTTTCCTTTTTTTGATAATTTATTGTACCAAAGTTGTTTTTTATAGCACATAGATGTCTGTAACCAATAATGTAGCAGTTCTGCACTTTTTTGACAAGGTATATTTAGATCCTTTTTTTTCCCCTTTTTAAATGTTTAATTATAATTATGGCTATACTTATTGCTTAACAAAACTGGAACTGATGTTAGCTTTACGCAGTACTTTCACAAGTCTGAATAAGTTGTAGTCTCATTTACTCTCTTCCCTCCCCCTCCTTCCCTCCCCCACCCCTTTAAAATAAGTTCTGACTTTATGAAACACCAGTCATTAGATGCTTGTTTCCCAGCCCTCTGAGGACCTGAAGTGTTCAACAAAGCTGATCAGTTTAGTAGATGAGATCTTAGTAGAGGGGAAGGACCAACCATTCATATTGGAGTTGGTGCAGAACGATCAAACTAGGTTTGTGCTCACACCCAGTTTATTTTAACGGACCATTCTACGCATGCCAATTAAGAGGCTCATCTGTGGTAACTTCGGATGGTACAAACTCACCTGAGCCAAAAAAAAAAGCCATTTTTTTTAAAAAAAAGGCACGTGAATCAGTTGGCAAAAACTGCAGTCATGGCAACTGCATCACCTCTTAGTGAAACTTGAAGACCAGATGGCATTAAGGTTAGCCTAACTTGGATTTGTTGTGTGTGTGTGTGTGTGCGTGCGCGTGTGTGTGTGTGTATATAAGCAGCGATTTAAGATCCACAACCAAGATCTTATAGACGAGTTTTATCACCCCCTCTGCAACGAGTTCCTGTGGACTAATGATTTTCGGATAAGCACTAGAGCAGTAAAACCGATCTCTATAATTAACGAATGGCTCCTTGGCCTATGTAAGTTTCTTATCTGATCTGGGTGGATGAGTTGGGGAGGAGAAAGAGAAGAAAGGGGGAGGTGAGTCTTACCTTCAGGCCTAGTGAGATGATGGCCTAAGTGATCTGAATCAGCCAGTTCCAAACAGTAACAGGTGGTCCGTATCCCGTGATCCATTCCTGTTTTTCCAATCGGGGGCCCAGTCGATGTTTGATGGCTTTGACCTCCATGGCATTTGTTGGCAGAACAGTCCAGTGTATAGGTATTATTTCACTTAACTGTAATGGTACAGCATTTTTGTTTCAAATATTATAAAATTGAAGCATATAGGTAAAGCATATAGGTGGTTTAGTATTACAACTCTTATCCAGACAATGCTGTCTCTAGATCTCAGTCCTTGATCCATTTTGTTAGCTGGATTACCAAGTGACAGAGCTTGCATCTCTCTCTTTCTATCTCTCTCTCTCACACACACACACACACACACGCAATCTCTCTTTTCCCCTGTGCTTACACGTTGATGGATAATTCTTTCTCCTGACCTGATAACAGTGTTACACGTCCACCAACACAATTCCAGAGAGGAAAGCTTTCCTTAGATTTAACACCCAAGAGAAGCACAGGTTAAATGTGCTTGTGGCAGTGAATTGGATCCTTGTGAGGTTGGGATCTCAGATGTCATGATACAAACAGCCACTGCTAATCTGCTCTGTTCATTAGTTTAATGCTGGAAAAGATTAATTCCCCCAAGTGGCACCTGCTGTCAATTTTAACACCAAATACAAACACACTCAGATAGGTAGACTTGATATTGAAGATTTGCTTCTAAATTTTACACGTAAGATTCATGTTTGAATCCTAACAGTTAGCTCTTGTCGTTACATCCGGTCACTTAATATGCACCCTTTTTTTTTTCTCTCATCTTTTTTTTCTCCTCTCTTGCTCTCTCGTCTTCTGTATGTGCATCTCGCTTGTACCTCGGCGCTTCCTCAGCTCTTTGCGTTTTCATCTCAGCATGCACTCTCTCATCTCTCTCCCATCTTGCCTCAACTTAAACAGTCCAGTTTTGTTTGCTTGACTACACAGTTTGGTTACAGGACTTCTGACTGTGCATTGTAAACATAAACAGCATGGAAAAGGTTAAGTACCTGTGTCCAGAGATTGTAAGACCTAGTCAAGACTTGCTGTGTATATTGTAATATGTTAAATGACAAAAGACAAGCCCTTTGTATTATAGTCATGCAGTCTTATGTATGATAAATAATTGAACAATTGGTCCTCATTACTGTCCTTTTGTGTGTGATTTATTTTACATTGACTATGTTCTTATAGATAATGAAGACCTTGATAAGTGGTTTTATCTTGTACTGAACAGTAGAACCAGAGGACATCCCCCTGCGATTCAAGTGGGGTAAATTCAGAATATGTCTGTGGAAACACTGCTTAAACACTAAAACATATGGAACAGGCTATCTAGGGAGATGGTAGAAGCAGAAAGTTGCTTCTTTCAAGAATAAATTATAGATTTCTTTTAGGAAATAATATCTCACAACACAGTATATAGTTTGGGAGATGACTTGAAAATGCAACTGCCCGGATGGTGGAAGGCGAACTGGTTGGACCTTGGTCTTCTTTTGCCAGCAAATTCTTATGTTCTTATATTTCCAAAGCACAAACCAGTGAAGCGAAGAAGAGTTGACATTCATTAAATCTTTAAATTTCCTTTCCTGGTGCAGTGGTAGCGCTCTCGCCTCCGAGTCAGAAGGTTGTGGGTTTCAAGCCCCACGTCAGGTCTTGGGATCACATAGTCTTAAGCTGACACTCCAATGCAGCTGGAGGGGGTGTTGCATTGTCAGAGGTGCCGTCTTTTGGATGAGATGTGAAACTGAGAGGTCCCATCTGTATATTCAGGTGGACAGACTCACACTCCTTGCTGGTCTCCCCAGGTCCACTATTCAAAAAATTCAGCTCATTCAGAACTCTGCTGCCCTCAGGCTTATCTGGACCAAACTTCGTACCGCTATCTCACTAGTTCTGGCCAGGCTCCACTCGCTCCCTCCCCATCACTGAACTGATCGACTTCAAGATTCCTCACTCTCGTTTTCAAATCCCTTCACACCCTGGCGCCTCCCTACCTCACTCCCCAGTCCACCCACCACCCAGCACCTCCGCTCAACTGGCACCACCGGGCCTCCTGCTTGTCCCTCGTGCCCTTTGCACCACTGGAGGTCGCACATTCAGCCACTGTACCCCGAAACTTGGACGCACGCAATCTCTCCACCTTGCCCCTTCTTTCCCCTTTTTCAAGTCCTGCCCGAAGACCTTCCTTCTCGACCTTCCTTCTCGACCTTCCTTTTCCTTACAGTCACTTCCTTCCCCCCACCCCCCCTCCCCTCCCCCCAACCCAGGCTCGGAGTCAGGCTGTGCCACTGTTAAGCGCTGTGAGACGCTATCCTGCATGGAGGGTGCTGTATAACTGCTAGCTGCTGTTGCTTGTTTAGGTGGGTGCTGAAAGCCCACGGCACTATTCCTGATGTCTTGGGCAACAATCCCCCAGGGGTGGAGGCAGGTGTTTAATACTTGAGATAAAATTTGGGTGTCAGCTGTACAGTATACTTACTAGTTGATTCATTGGCATCCTATAGCCTATTGGTTAGAGCACTCACCTCTCGAGCGAGATTCTATTCATTCCCCGACAGGGCGAAACCTGGCAAGTTTCCTTACTCCACACTGTTGACCTCGCAGTAAGTAGAAACCCAGTTGGTAGTCGATTGGCGAATCGTTTTTCTGGGGGTAATAACTTTTTTTTTAAAAATTGGGTCACTCAATCCACCACTGTTTGTGGCACACTGCTGTGTGCAATTGGCTGCCGTGTTTCGCCCCCAAAATATACAGTCAATTCACTTTAGAATATATTC